CCTCTGAGCTACCAAAGCATTCTCTTCACCCAATTCATCCTCTCACCCTCATTGTTAGTCCTCCTAGCCTTGCTGGGTTCTTTGTCTGTGATGGATGTAGAGATATGTCTCCTGGCTTTGCCTTCCACTGCAAAACATGCCGGTTCAATCTTGATGTCAAATGTGCGACTTCAACTGACGTTGAGGATCTGAGATCAAGAAAAGGTGTGAAAAATACCGAGATTCCCTACTTCGGTGATGAGCACCTGCTAGTTTCCTTCAATGCCAAGCAGGAAGTCGAAAAAACTTGTACTGGATGCCAGCTGCAGCTTTCAGGTCCTGCCTACGGTTGCTTGGACTGTGAATTCTACCTCCATGAATCGTGTAAAGACATGCCATCGGAAATACAACATCCATACCACCCTCTGCACCCTCTCCACGCTCAAGTTGCTGAATATGGCTCAGAATGTGATGCTTGTCACATGCCAATTAGGAAGGTTTTTTATCGATGTTCTGAGTGCGACTTCAATCTGCATATTCTATGTGCTAACAAGTCTCTACAGGTAGCATCTTCCTTAAAATTCAAAGGCCATGAGCACGATCTCTATTATTTTGTGGCGAGCTATTTCAACGAGTATTCTCTATGCAACACTTGCCGTAAGGTTTGCAAGGGCTCCTACTATATCTGTTTAGAGTGCAAATATTATGTTCATCTGGACTGCATTCCTTTACCGCGAGTTGTTGAGAATGATTGCCACTCCCGCGACTATTCCCATCGCCTCCCCCTTAAGGATTGCTTTGTTGAAGACGACTCGGGCCAGTATTACTGTGAGCTGTGTGAGAAAGAAAGGGATCCAACGTATCCTGTTTACTACTGTGATCAATGCCCTGATCTCAATCCATATCTCGCTCACATTGAATGCCTGATGTTGGAGGTAAGGCCAAATTTAAGCCCCTGAGGAGGAAAAAAGTGAAAGCCATGTTTGCATTATTGTCTAATTTTCAACTAGTATTATGCAACTTCAATTTGCTTTGCTATATATACATATTCAAATTCTCTTAATCAGACATATACTGCTCTGAACTTCATGCGTGACTCGTCTTTTCTTGCTTTGAGTTGCATTTGTTTGTGGTATAATGATTCTCATGTTTTATTTGTTGGACATGGTAAACTTTCTTCGCTTGGAAGAAACTTCACTAGAGGCGATAACATGGGTTGCTCTACAGCTAATGGAAGCAGAGCTCAACTCTGCGAGGACCTCTGCCAAGATGGTTGATGATGGAGATGTAAAGGGTGATACGAACTGCCTTGCTCTCGTCAAGTACGCAACTATCCCACCTGAGAATCAAATTAAGGTCAGGCCATTTGAGTGATCTTAGTTTATTTTTGTTGTTTCAACTTCCGCTCCTGTTCACTTGATTTAGAATGGAGGTTTTTAAATGTCATTTCCTTCGGGTTGTTAACGTGAAAGAACTGATTCAGCTCAAAACCTTAAGTTATTAGACAATATTTTAAGATATAATTTATATATATTTTTTTTGTATAAATTTACACTATTTTATGTTTAATTTTATCAAATAAATAAAAATAATGATATTTAAACACGTAATCACTTGATTATGGCTCTAATATCATGTTAAAGAATCAATTTAACTCAAAAGCTTAAGATGTTAAATAAAATCCAAAGATATAATTTATATTATTTTCTAACAGTCATTCCGACAGCCATAAGGCTGAATGACATACTTACTCTAAATTTATAAAGTCTATTTTTGTAGCGTTTGCTTGAATACTACAGCAATTTACTTGAATCAACATAGAAAGAGAAGGCACTAATGCATTCAAAGCTGCTCACAATGGTTTACCTCCAATTATATTGAATAGACGTGTAAGTTTTGTTTGTTAATTATCTTCTTTCTCTAAGATGCAGCTTAAAGGTTTCGAGCATGTACATACCCTGGTCCCTGACAAGAAGGAATCAGATGCAAGGAGAACTTACTGTTCTTGGTGCGCTGGCAAAATTTTTGGTCCAGGCTATTTCTGTCATGACTGTCGGGGAAACTGGCATATATCATGCGCTAAATCGCCCCCTAAAAAGACACACTTTCTTCACTCACAGCACACCCTAGCTATGTTTTATCCTCGTTGTTTTAAGTACTTTATATGCGATGGCTGTGGAGATCTTTGCCATGATGTTGCCACTTATCATTGCGATAAATGCCGCTTCTTCCTTGATATGAAATGTGCTTCTCTACCTGATGATCAGTGCGAGAAATTGAAGAAGACAGAAAGCAAAACTATAGATTTTTGCCACAAGCATAAATTAACAAGAGCCAACTGTACAAGAGGAATTAAAGCGAAATGCAAGGTCTGTCAGCTCGGTATCTCCGGTGCAACATATTGCTGCATTAACTGCAACTTCTTCATTCATGAATCCTGCCTTGAAACACCACAAGAAATACAACACCAGTATCACCTGCAGCACCCCCTTCTTGGTCGGGACTTTGGTGGAAATCCAAAAAACTGCAGAGCCTGCAATCTGCAAACTTGGGATATTGCCTATTACTGTGATATCTGTGATTTTGCTCTCCATTTTACATGTGCTACTTACTTAACTTCCACTCTCATACACGAGTCCCACCATGAGCACACACTCTTTTCCTTCGTAGCATGGGATCTAGGGGATCAGGGCTTTATCCAGTCGCTAGAACCACAACCTTCAAAAGGCAATTTTTGTTGCGAGACCTGTGGAAATGATTGCAGTGGTTCCTTCTATCGTTGTGTTGAATGCAACATTAATCGACATCTTGAGTGCATTCCATTGCCATTTAAAGTTCAGCAAAAGGACCATCATTTGGATCCTCTTACTCTCATGGAAAATGTCGTCGAAGATGATTATGGAGAATATTACTGTGAGATTTGCGAGGATAAAAGGAACCCAAATCATCCTGTTTATTGCTGCAAGATGTGTAAGGATAACTGGTTCATTGCTCATATTGGATGCGTGATTAAAGAGGTGAAACTTGTTATTCCATAAATTGCTTTGATTTTTCGTTAAAAAACTTCTGTAACAAATCATCTGCAAGCCTATATCTTTAATTAGTACCTGCTACATTTTCTTATGTTGATCATTTAAAATGTTTGATTTATCAGGGAGACACTTCATTAGAAATACTGGAATGGTGGAATAAATATTTGGGATCAGACTATGAGGAGACCTCTAGCAAGGGGGATGATGGGACCTCCCTTTCCATTCATTCTGATCTAGAGAGTTATGCAATGGGAGAGCATAATACGGAAGGCCCTGGAATTACTGAACTTGATTAAAACATCGAGGGTAATGCAAAGGCAATAAGGCAATGAGAGAAATGTGCCTGCAGAGATCCTTGCGATGTTTTCTTGCCTACAATAGACGACTAGTGATTGGTATGTTGAAACATCTTCAGCTAGCTTGTAACGCTCGGTATATTGGTGAATGCACATAAAACAATCTGTACATTGCAAATTTCTAAGAACATTGTTACAAAATTTATCTTATCGAAAGTGGAGAAGGAGCATTTGTGCTAAGTAATTAGAAATCTCATATGCTTTTGGTTTGAATCATAGTTATAAGATGTTATATTGTACCTCCACATCTCCTATAGAAAGTATTAAATGCAGTTCAAGGCAACTGATGGAGCTCACCTCCTGCAAGGATGAGGAAGGAGGTTGAAATTTAGCTAAAATGCTGAATTAACATGGAAGCTAAATTCAATTTCTTAATCTAATCTGGGATGAGATATACTTCGCTAGAGGTACATTCATCATGGAGTGATGATCTGGGATCAGACACTGGAGAGACTTCTGGCAAGGAGGAATGTGGAACCGTTCTTGAGAGTGATCCAGGAAAGCAAAATCACGAGATGAAAGATTGCAATGGAAAGCAACTGGATGAAGAGCCAAGGTAACTTCATCTGGAGATTAAAGCAAACAGGTTCATCTCAAGACTCAAAGCTCATCAGCAAGTTTCCCAAGTTCAGGCGCCCCACTGTCAAGTGAAAATCTCTAGTTCATAGAGATTTTTTCCTGCTGCAACACTCTTATTCAATATACATTTTGTTGTTAGGTTTGCTTCTGCTGTGCCCTTTCAGTCCAGTTCATGTAGCAATTGCGAAACAATGTTAAGGAGAAGATTTGAGAGGAAAGCAAGTTTTTCTCTTGTTTATATTCCTCTCTACATATTGTTCTTTTGATTACAGGCTTATTTATAAAAAAACTAATTCTAATCTGATCGAGAAAGCAGGCTTAGAAAGCTTACTGTTGACTTCACCTATGCACCAATTCCGACAATTCTTTACCATATCAAGAACAACAATTTCCTATTTATTTTAACTACCAGTGTTTAGTATTATAATGTACTTCTTATTTAAAAATAAATCAAAATAAATTTTTTATTTTATTTTTAACATCAACTTATGACAATTATTCATATCTCCACGGCGAAAGCTTTATGTAATTTCATGATACACATATGCTTTTAACGTTTTGCACTGCTTCGCTGAGTCCTCGAGTCATCATCAGTTGATTACAGCTCAATATTAATCAACACGCGGCCAAGGAAAGTTCCATGCTCCTCCTCCTCTAGGACTTTTCGACATTGCCTCAGGAATTTTCCGAAGTGAAGAACGAAGCAGGTTCTTTTTTTTTTTTTAGGCTCTAAAGTGATTATATATTTTTTCAGAACAAATATCTTATTTTAATTTCTGAAACAAGTTAACTGGTATAAATCATCAACACTATTTTTTTTAAAATTAATATTTTTAAATTATTTTAATATACTAACATAAAAACATAATTTAAAAAATAAACAAATATTATTTTAATATATTTTTAAATCAAACCACAACTACAGCATCACAGCCACATAGTTTCTGGTTTCCGAGCCCTCGAGTCGTTATCAGTTGCCACTCAAGATTCCAGCTCTGTATTGTTCGACAGCGGCCAGGGAAAGTTCCATGCTCCTTCTCCTTTACGACTTTTCGACATTGCCTTTGGAATTTTGATCCTTGTACTCTTCTCTCTGCGCTATTACTGTAACAATCTCTTCCACATCTCATCTCATTCTACCATTCTCTGCTCCCAGCTGCAAATCATTTCTTAAAACCATATACTCTTCTCTTCCCTGTGCTTTCTGCTCTTTTTGTCTGAATACTGCTCAGGCAGAGCAGCTCTTGCAGAACATCTTGAATCCAGGTAAAGTATTTATACTTCATCTTGTTGGTGTTTTTGATTGTCACTTCCAGCTATTGTTTGAATCCTTTTAAGTAAAGGACAAGAATCACTAGTAGTAAGTGGCGGAGCCATGTAAAAGCAAAATCAAAAGGGGCAATTGCCCATTTATTAATTTTTTTAAATATTTTTTATATTAGAATATTAATATAATAATATGGTGAGGGTTGATACGCTGATCTGTGTCTTAATATAATAAATAGTATATATAATATATATGCAGCATCCCAGCTCATTTCTCATTTCTCCAAACTTTTCCCTTTTCTTTTCTTTTTTCCCGTTAATTAGTCAAGAGCTTTTCTATTTTTTTTTAGCTGCTCTCTTTCTCATACAATTGTTTTTTTCAGATTCAGTTAAGCAACTTTAAGTAATTTTTTCATCTTTTTTATTTGTTTTATTATTTAATTTTAGTTTAATTTTTTTTTTATAATTAGTTATTGAAAATGTTAGAGTTTATAATAATTTAGAAGTTTTGATATACAATATTTTGAATTAATTAAAGATGAATGTTAGTGGATTAGAATATGATATTGTTCAATTTTGAATAATAGGTATTGATTTAATTGTTTTGAATTAATTAAAAGTTATATTATTTCTAGTTGAATTGATTATGATACAAAACTAAACTTATTTACAAGATAAATATAGGTGAATATTCAAATTGTTATTAGCAAGTAAAGATTGATATTTGCATAACTAAAATTGTTTTAGCTTGAGATTGGTTCTTTTTATGATATTAATTTTCTTGTGCCCTCCTATAAAATACTCAGGATAGATGATTAAATAATTTATATTTTTTTGTTTTTGTTAGATACTTTGTGTTTTGCTGGAGAAGAGTGAACACATGCGTGCAAGCCTAATTTTAATTGGTTCATGTTGTTTTTTTTTAAATTGTTTTTAAAAGTAATTTGTCATGATAAATTTAAACTATCAATTCTGATCCATATCCATGCATTATATACAACATGTTACATGGTAATTGGGTGTGAAATGGATTTTGATGAATTGATGTGTATTTTACAATGAATTTCACATGAAAAATTTACAATTATTATGTAACTCAATTGAATTTTGTTATTATGAAAACTTAAAGAAAGCAATTATAATGTAAGTTTTCTCATTTTAAAAGTATTTTTAAATTAATTTTGTTTTATATGAGTTAGTATATTTGTTTCGAATTGATTTTTAATACATGCTATATAATATAGTATTTATTAATAATTTATCTTCTCATTTAAAAAACTCTGGCTTTGTCACTCCTAGTAGTTTCCAAAAATAAATCAATCGATCTTTCTCAGTTTTCATAATCCATGTCTTATGGAGTTAATGTTGCGCACACTGAACCGAAAACAAACACAAATAAAACACAAACAAGAAGATTTACGTGGTTCTCCAAAACCGGGTACGTCCACGGAGGCAGCAGATTGTATATTATTGGAGGAATGATACAAACACTCAACTCAACCCAGTACAATCCCACAAAGCCCAATGTTTCACTCTTACACTTGGTGTTTCTCTCAAATTTGCACTTTCTCACTCTCATAATTGCACTCACCACCACTTCCTCTGCACACACTTGCACTCTCTTACTCTTTATTTATAGGAGAGCCTTGACAGCTTGGTTGAGAAGTAATAGTGGTTGAGGGTGGTTGATGGTGGTTGGAAGTGATTGATGATGGTTTTTAAAGGAGAGGGTGGTTGATGGTAGTTGAGAAAAATGTTGACAATTTGCAAATGTTGACAATTTGCTATAAATCTCCACTTTGGTAAGATTTTTTTTCATTCAATCCTCTTGATTAATCAATGTTGCCTCTAACGCGTCATATAGCGCTACACCTTGAAGGTGCTCAACACCGAAAGATGTTGACCAAGTCCAAACAATGTTGGAACTTGATCCTTGAGATACATTTTGTGAGCATGTCAGTTGGATTATCTACGGTACCAATCTTCTGTGGCAGAATATCCCCTTGATCCATAATTTCTCGAACAAAATGAAATCAAACATCGATGTGCTTGGTGCGGGAATGATGAACCTGATTCTTTGCAAGACAAATAGTACTTTGATTATCACAATGGACATCCATGTGCTCTTGAACAATTCCCAAATCCTCAATCAACCCATGTAACCAAATAGCTTCCTTGAAAGCTTATGTTACTACCATGTACTCTGCCTCAGTTGTTGACAAAGCTACTGTTGATTGTAATGTTGACCTCCAACTTACAGGCCCTTTAGCAACTGTAAACACACAGCCTGTTGTGGAACGACGCTTGTCTAAGTCACCAGCATAGTCCCAATGCACATAACTAACTAAATTTTGTCCGAGTTTATCATCCTTCTCAAACTTCAAACCAATATCAGTTGTGTCATAAATGTACTATAGAATCCACTTAACTGTCTGCCAGTGACCCTTTCTAGGATCATGTATATACTTGCTCACCATACTGACTGCAAGTGAAATATCTGGTCTCGTACAAACCATCGCATACATTAATACACCAACTGCATTTGCATACAGAATTTGAGCTATATACTTGCGCTCTTCCTTTGTGCGTGGAGACATTGAAGCACTTAGCTTAAAATGAGGAGCTAGAGGTGTGTTTACGGGCTTGGTCTTACCATCTACCCCAAATCTCTTTAGAATTTTCTTCAAGTATTTGGTCTGTGTTAAACAGACTGTGCCCTTTCTTCTGTCTCTCCGAATCTCCATGCCAAGAATCTTCGTAGCTTCTCCAAGGCCCTTCATTTCAAACTTAGTTCTCAATTGAGCTTTCAGTCTATAATCTCCACCTTGCTCTTCGATGCGATCAACATATCATCCACATATAAGAGCAAATAGATGAAAGAACCATCAAGAAGTTTGTGAAAATATACACAATGATCAAACTGACTGCGTGTGTATCCATGTTCTATCATGAACTTATCAAATCGCTTATACCACTGGCGAGGAGATTGTTTCAATCCATACAATGACTTCTTGAGTTTACAACCCCAATTCTCTTTCCTAGTGACTTTGAAACCATCTGGCTGAGACATGTAAATTTCCTCTTCCAAATCTCCATGTAAGAAGGCGGTTTTTACATCAAGTTGGGCTAACTCCAAATCAAATTGTGCAACCAAGGCTAACATAATACGGATTGAAGAATGCTTAACAACTGGAGAGAATACCTCATTATAATCTATCCCCTCTTTCTGAGCATAACCTTTTGCTACCAATCTTGTTTTGAATCGGATGTTGTCTTTTCTAGGATTACCTTCCTTCTCGGCATATACCCACTTGCAACCAATTGTCTTCTTTCCCCTAGGGAGTTGTACCAAATCTCAAGTCTGATTCTTGTGGAGAGATTTCATCTCTTCGTCCATTGCCTCTTTCCATTTTGCACTTTCTACACTTTGTATTGCTTATTTGTAGGTGTAGGGGATTCCATCATCAATCACTAGAAATGCATAAGCCACCATGTTACAATACTGAACAAGTTTCTTGATAACTCCTTTTGGTTTTTTTTTTCTCTTTTTTTTTGTTAAAATGATGTTTTCTTATTTTTTATTTTTTTTAGAGTTTTGCTTTGTTATTTTTTACGGTTTGCCTTCCATGTAGTTAATCTCATGTTCATGACTAGAATCAACTTTTTTAATCTTTTACTTATTTATTTCAATTTTATCTTTCAATTATTTATTTTATTTTCTTTATGAGATTATCTTAATTTTATGTTCATGATTATGAAGTTTATGATTTCACCCAGTTTGACAAGGCTTTCCTTGTTGTCTTTTTTAATTATTTTTTTTGTACAGTTTCACTCTTTAATACTAGGTTGTTTAACAATCTGGATAGGCTCAGGTCAAATTGTTTTTATATATTTTTTATTTTTATATTTTTGTGAGCTTAATTGTTAATATTGTTTATTTTTTTGTTTATATTGTTTGAATTACTAATTAAACCTACAACCCGGATCTTAAATTTTTTTATTCTAATTTTTTTTCCCCGGCCGGCAGCAAAGAAGCAGGGGCAACAAATATAGGTAGCTATATAGAGCCGTTTCGGAGTTCAGAAATTAAACCATCGGAGTGTTTGTGATCAAGTCTCTGTGTATGATAAATCCCACCTCACGTGCTGGACTTTCTATTACGACTAGATGCTAGTTTCCAGTCTTATAGAGACAACAACAAAAACTTCAGGACTTTTCTGCATTGCCTTTGGAATTTTCCGACGTCGATAACGAAGCAGGTTCTTTGTTTTTTGGCTCTAAAATGATCAAATATTTTCAGAACAAATTTCCTATTTTAATTTTCGAAACAAGTGAAGTGGGATAAATCATAATTAAGTCCCATAAACAAGTAATTAAATTATGATTGATTTAATGATATCAAAAATTTAAAAAATATAAAAAAACATTGTTTTTTTATATAGATTTTTAATTAAAAAACATTTTTTTTTAAAGAAGTATAGCAAGACAGATATACAAGATGCACTTCTTCTTTTTAATTTTAATTGTATTCATGAGAAAATAAAACTTTCTTTCTTCTCTCGTCTCACAACAGCTATCCACTGAGATGAAGAGTCTCCAAATAATTAATTCACAATCAAACTTGACTCCAAACATGTCTCAAGGGGCTGGTGACTAGAGTTTTATTTGTTTTTATATTTTAAAAAAATTTATATTTTTTTATTTTTTTATTTTAAATTAATACTTATCAAATTTAAATCTAGCCATGTCTTAAGTTGACTGATCATCAAATTCAAATCTAGCCATGTCTTAAGTTGACTGATCACCAAATCAACCTTGTGGATACGACTAGGTTTGAAATCTATGATTTCTAGAATCGTTGTTCAGAAGGCAACCCTAGGAACTGAGCGTAGGCTAGCAAGATAGGTGAGAAGAGTCCATTTATTTTTTTGCAAAATATTTTACAAGCAGTTTTTTTTTAATTAGAAAAATATTTTTTAATAATAATAATAATAATAATAATGATAATGATAAGTTTTTTAATTAAAAAATATTTTTTAAGAATAATAATAATAATAATAATAATGATAATGATAAGATGATATTTGTGAAAGAAATGATAGTGATAATAGTTAGATAAAAGTAATTATTGAGATATATAATTGGATAATATTGTAAGTAAATTATTATTTATAAAATAATTTATTGAATTTTAAGAATTGAAAATATTTTCTAGTAAATAAATTAAATTTGAAAGTTAATTATAAAATATTTTTTACTCGCTAGTTTTTCTACAAAATATTTTATAAAAAATAAATACAAAAAAATATTTTTTAAAAAATACTTTAGGAAACAAACACAAAAATGTAAAATATTTTACTTAAAACAAACAAAATTATACTATTCACTTTCAAATTCTCGTAGTTTCTGATTTTTTTTTTTTAAAAAAAGTTCTCAATAATATGGTAGGTAAAAGCAATTGGTTACTTCCCAGCAACTTCTTTCTTCTCAAACAATACATTAATTAATAGTTATGATTGAGCTGACCATATTAGTAATATTACGGTGGTTCTGGAAATGCGGTAGATATTATTTTTTAAAGTATATTTTGTTTAGAATTTTATTAAAATAATATAATATTTTTGTAAAATTAATTTTTAATATTAATATATAAAAATAATTTCAAAATATTAATTTAAAACTAAAACTTTTTCAAAAATTTTTAAATAGCAATTAGACGTAATACTTTAACGTTTTCTTCCTCGTCTCATCTCATTATACCATTCCTCAATTTCCTTTTCCTCCTCAATTTCTCTGACCTGTGCTCTCTGTTTTTTTTTTATATATATAAAATAACCATATAATAAGTTTCTGTATGGTGTTCATAGGTTTATGTACACGGAGGTGAGAATTGGTTGATTTAGGCCCCTCGTATTAATTTTTTAAATTTATAATTTATTTTTAAATTTATAATTTATTGAGATTATTATAATTTTAAATAAATAAAATTAAAATAAATTATGAAACTCAAATCTTAATAAACTCATTATTAATAATGAAATTAAAAAAAATTAATATAAAAAATATAATAAAACAACTTAACTCTACTCTAATAAACTCACAAAACCAGTTAATTAAGTCATAAGACTGAAATAACTTCATAGAAAATAAATTAAAATAAATAATAAAATCTAATTTATAATCAATTGAATATTTAAAATATTGAATGATAAAATTAAAACTAAAATAAAAATTAAAAAAATTAAATCAATTAAATTAATCTGTAAGTAATAAAATTAAGACAATACAAAGAAAATAAACAACAAAAACTTATAAAATAAAATCTTAAAAAAATAAATATTTAAAAATAAAATTATAAAATTTAATGTTATTTATAAAATGAAACAAACAGAATAAAACTGAAACATACTTGGGAATGATCGAAATTATAAAATCTAATTTATAAAAGGGAATGCATTCCTTTAGCGCGTGTAGTTGAGAATGATTGCCACTCCCGCGACTATTCACATTCCCTCACCCTTAAGGATTGCTTTGTTGA